ACAGCCGAAAAGTACTGCCAAGAAATTGACGAAATGCATCGAAAACTCCAGCTCATGAGCTCGGCACTGTTGAATAGGAGAGGGCCAATTCTACTCCACGACAACGCTCGGCCTCACGTCGCACAACTTACCCTGAGAAAATTGATGGAGCTAGGCTATGAAGCTCTCCCGCATCCACCATATTCCCCAGACCTTGCTCCCATAGACTACCATTTCTTTAAACATCTCGACGCTTTCTCAAGGAGAAATGCTTCAAAACCCAACATTATGCTGCCGCGGCATTCGACGACTTCATCGCCTCTAGATTTCCGGGCTTCTATGCGAATGGGATACTCGAACTTGTTTTTCGTTAACAAAGGTGGGTCAATAGTGATGGTTGTTATTTCGATTGATGAAGTTTCGTTCAAGCCGAGATATATGCATTTGAAGTTTGAGGCGCAAAACCGCAAGAACTTTCTTCACGACCTAATATATAGTAGGATTGCCGTCTACTTTCTTCAATCCCGATGCGGTCTTGATCTTTCAGAGATGGAGTGGAGTCAATACGTCAATAATCAGTCTAATAAGCATAGAAACAAACAAGAGTTAAAAAGAAACATTCAAAACCAATCGAAAAAGAAAGTTAGACAACAAAAAATGTGGTGTTCTATCGATTGGCGAGGAGGTGGGCTGAGTACGGTATTTGCAGTTTAAAGCCGCGAGACAACTAAAAAAGATTTGCCGCATGCCGCAAAGCGAAAGTGGGAAATCGGAGAGATGTTCCGTCAGGAGAACGTCCGTTGCGCGTGTCCGTCGAAAGTAGGTCACCCCGCCCACTTCGCGCGCGGCGCATCACACTGAGGTCTCGAGATGACATTGCAGTACCGCCAAGGGCCATTGGAGCAAATGATTTGCATTTGTCTGTGTTATCTTCTTCTGGAACTGACTGCCAAGGACCAAACGCAAAGCGTATGCCCCAGTGACAATTGCGACGTCTGCCAAATATCGCGGGCCGACTCGCCGCGTGCGACGGCTGCGGCGTGACCTAGTTTCGACGGACACGCGCAACGAAGCGCACCCGTTCCGTCGCCCTGTTGCTGGCATCTGTGGGCGTGATCTCGAATATTCGTTCTCGTTTCAGTTCAAAGCTATCATGACGCCGCTTTACAAGTATTTTTGTGTCGAACACGTTTATACCTGAAATAATTTTCAAGGTGTGTGATCTGGCCAAGACAAAACCTGGATTGACATGTGGGTACAACAGCTGGATCGAATTGCCTGTACAAAGGACAAAGCCCCATCGACAGTTGTAACTCGTAGAAATAGGGTTCCAGGTTCGCCTCTTTGCAAACCTTTTTGGAATTTTTCTGTGAGTATTGTTTCGTGTTATAAGACAAGCAGTTTGGGTAATGTCATACAGTTGCTCCAAACGCCAGATATTCCTCTTCAGTGCATTTATATTGATCGCTTTCCCTTTGAAGTTTTCTTTCTCTAGCATTATCTCACACTTTTTTCTGTACGTTGTTTTTACCGATGCGAAAAGCACTGTCTTAAAAATAATACTTGAGAAATTTGAGCAGCAGGTTTTGCTTTGAGACAACTTGCTGAAAGTATCATGGTCGCGCGCTTTAAGCCGATCTACCTTCGCTTTCTTCTTTATGTTTTGGATGTGATATTGTTCTATTTTTTTTTTTTTGGGGG